ATTTGCTTAAACAAAGAAGATAGAAACTTATTGAGAAAAATACTAAATAGGCTGAAGATCCTTTCTCTTAAACTATGACACCCAACCACTGATATAGAAAAAAATAAATAAAATAAACTGTCCATTTGAGAATTTTAAATCACAACTATAAGTGGGATTTTATATAAAATGGGATTTTATAAATTATGAATTTTCCTAATTCATAATTTCATTTATATTACGTACCCCATAGAATCAAAAGTATCTAGGTTAATATTTGTCGAGACACTGAACTATAAGTTGGTATGGAGTCAGACTCGGTCTGCCCTGTCGAATCTCCTGTAGTAGATGAATACCGGTGCTTGCAAAGAAAACACCGGAGCACCTATTGTGTCTACGTCCATGCTTGCCAGGAACCATGCTTAACCTATAGGATATCAATCAGATATTTGCATTAATCAAAGCGTCCGACTGGTTCTAATATGCCCAACTTTCTACCCACAATGACGACGAATGTGGAACTAAAACAGGTTCTTTAGCTTATGGGGAGGATTCAATCCGCTTCCATTTCACCTATCTATTTTTCATCAAATTTTAAAATTAATATAAAATGTAATGTATAAGGGACCATAAATTTTCCGAAGAATTTTTTTCTCGAATGCTCCTAACGCTTTTTTATGTCCGCTGGTAATTGACCAAGCTTCTGCACCATATTGTAGAACAGGCATAATAAGAGACTTGTAGAGCGTGATTTTTGTTTGATGAAAGAGGACTATATATCTCGAATATCTATTTAGGCCGAAATAACATATGTTGGCAGAAATAATTCCAAATGAATATTTAGCTTGACGTATTTTTGGTGTTCACGCAGATTCGTAAATAAACAATGGCTTTCAGAACTTCGAACTTATAGTTGTCAATAGTGACGTAGGTCCCTAAATGGTCAGAAAATTTGCTTTTTTTTTCTTTACTACGAGACCCACTTGCTTCGTTTGTTTTTTTAAGTTGGAAAAAGCTGCACTAACGGCGTGGGTTTTCACTCAGACCAATAATATCAATATCGTCGACATACTCAAGCAGCACGGGTATTCATTAGTACAATTTAAAGTATTCATATTGCTAATAATAAATAGCAATCTCATTAAGTTATTTTTAATAAAAAGGAGATATATACCTACATATAAAAAAGGTATAATTTTTTACGTAAATAAAAGTTTTTCAACAAAAACTAAAAAGTGCTTATAATTATTTTAAGCGTACTTTCACTGATTTATGAGCATATTGTGCATTAATTTCGAAGTATGTTTGTGAAATCATACACGTGTCAACGAAACTTCCCACTCCTTCTGCCCGTACATTACTTCAACGAACTAAATATAATGTTGTGGCGCACTGTAAGTTCCAGTGTTGCAGGTTTTTCCCTAACAAACTTTATGACTATGTTTGAATGAATTAACCTTCACCTTGAAGTTGAAGTAGCATTTATATCCTTACCATTATACACCATTATACTTTTGCGCTGGTGTTGGTTAAGAATGTACATGAGGTTATTACCACTTTTAAAATGGTTTAGCATTTAAGTACAAACTGAACACACTCAAGCAGAGTGAAAACTTTTTGGAACATAGTGAAAGGAAAGCTTCCTATTTCCGGTTTTATTTTTACACACTGTCTAAAGTATTTTTGTGTAAAATATTGATATAATTTTTCATGCCTTTCATTACTGTCTGTGTTTAAAGGGAATACACATATTTATTTATATCTAGTTGGATTATAAAAATATCGTTGAGTACTTGTATTTATAATTTCATTGCTAAATTATTTTATTTTTGTTTTAATTATGTGTATAATTACTTTGATTGCTTTAAACAAATGTATAAAAAGTACTTTAAAATGCGTACATTTAAGCAAATAATATTAAAACGCAAAAACGGATTTTAATTTAAATTTTACCTACCAAATAAGCGTAAATATATTTTCATGTATTTAATTTTTTTTTATATTAAAGTATATTTTAGTAATATATTTACAAAAACGGATTTTAATTTAAATTTTATCTACCAAATAAGTGTAAATATATTTTTATATATTTAATTTATTTTATATTCTAGTATTTTTTAGTAATAATATTTTTTAATAAGTGCACGTTATTGTATTATCCTTTGAAGGTTAAATTACCACCGCTTCGATTGTTATATTAATTTTGCCCAACCCAAATAAATTAAATCCACATGAAATTTTTCCCTGCAATACGAATTTACGTCACTTAATTACAGTTAATATCAGAATAAATATAGCTACATACGTAACTAAAAATGCAAGATTTTTTTTATTTATACAGTTATACGCACTTAGTTACACTAAGTTTATATACAAAATAAAATTTAAATACAAAAATCACTGAATAGTACTTTGTACTAAAAAGTTAGTTACACTTGTGGTTATGGTTTTTTTGTGAAATATTTACAGATGACACTAAAAATATTATTTATTATTTTACTAAGGACAATATTTTCATTTCAGAGTGGTAATAAATAATATGTTGATTTAAAAGGATAATGACCACTAATAAAAATCAATACATTAGATATGAAAAAATATTATTTACACATAATAACTTTGATGTTAGTTATAAAAAAAATTTTTATTTACTATTGCGGTTTTGATATATTTTAATATTTTTAAAAGATTGAATGTAGTTACCAAACGATAAAAGATTTTTATATTATTTATAAAATAGACGTATAAAGCTCGTCTATTAGTAGAAGTACCCAAATCAAAATTACTTTAAAAAACAAAATAGATGATATAATGGAACCAACACTGAAACAAATATTAGGTAACCATAAATAACAATGCTTATGCATCTGAATCTATTATAGATCAGAGAACAGAACTTTAGTTTTATAAAGTTGACAGAAAATTAAGAGTTTTCAATAATTGTTAAGAAATCCCAAGAAGTTGGTAGTGTGTTATCATAGAAGTTCTTAAATAATAAGCAAGTGAAAGATTAGAGTCAAAATAGATAAGAGTTGATAAAAAATAAAATTAATAAATAAATAATAAATAAAATTGACCCAAGTACAAAATTTAACAAAGAGTTATATCATTATAAGATATATTGTTACAAAACTTTGAATTACTTTTATTTTACTAAAATTTGAAGCGGAAGGAGGATCAAATAGTTAGCTAAGAATGCTGTTTTGATTCCACATTCCTCGTAATTGTGTGTAAAACGTTGGACATATTAGAACCAACCACACGCATTAATAACTGCAAGTATGTACCTACTTTAATGTTGGACTATTCAAAAACTAAAATTTGGTTCTAGATAAGAATGGACATGGAAACAGGTGGTTTAGTATCTACTCCTCGATTGCCGATAGACATGTACTACGGAATATTTGTCAAAGTCTGCCTCCACGCAGTCCTATAGTTCAGTATCCTGTTATAACCGATATTATCTTAGGTACTCCGATTTACTTCTAACGACCAAGTCAGCAGTTTTACATTTGAAATAAAAGAGCCATGGAGCTCTTGATCAGGCTGCTGAAGAAATGTTAATCCAATTTTTACTGGCATATCGTAAAAAATAGTTGTATATCAATATTTATTTCTGTCTGGCAGGAGCAGGGATTAAAACGGAAGGTTTAATAGAAAACGCGCCAAATCATGCTAACTCATCTGCGCATTCGTCACTGCTATATTCGTAAGTCCAGCAACCCAAAGCAGAGCTACCGTAAAGCTACTATCTAGGCTGTTAATAACTCGTCTTTATTTGTGAATTATTTTGTAAATTTACATTGAAGAACAGAATTTACATTGAAGAAAAAAACTTGAATATCGATTTATAAACTCACAATCAGAAAAGCTAAAAAAGGTTATACAAATATAAATATAAAATAATGACAAGTAAATGAATTGAGAAAAAGAAAGCAATACATGTATTCTTTCATGTTCCTTATTAATTAATATTACACTTACGTATCATGTATTGTAAAAAGTACTTATTTTTAACAAAATAATTAAACAAAAAAAATAAATAAAAGAAACTAAAACTCACATTTAACTAAATTTTCATTTAGAATAATAAATATATAAAATATGTATATTTTTATAAAATATTTAATCACTTCAAATATATAATACTATACAGTATATATTAAAATATTATGTAAAGTAGTATTAAGTTTTCATTTCAAGTTGGCATTACGTTTTTAATGCTATCAGATGTAAAATAATAAGTAGTTTTATTTTCATACTAAATTGCTTTCGTATCTTATTTAATATCATTCTAGGAATAGCATTAGGTTGTTGACAAAAAAATATACTAATAAGCAATAAAGTATTGTACAACAAGATACATAACTAATATGTATATAAACTGGAAAGTTCATATTTCATTCAAAACATAACAAAGGCATATAAGATCTTATTAAGGAAACAAATACATAAAAAACATAAAATAATATGAATATCTTCAAAGCTGATTTGAATGTTAATAATAAAATGCTGCTTTTATCAAATATATGCTTATGTAAATAAATATAATACTTGTTGCCACAAGCATAGAAAAAAAAGTTAATTCACAAATAAATGTCAATATATGTAGCAATATGTTTTATTATTTTGTATTTTACCTAATTATAAAAAATAATATAAAGAAATAATATATGAAATACTTAGAAAAAGATGTGGGATAAAAGAAAAGAGAATAACTTTTTCTATAGTAAGTAATTTATTTTGGGTATATATACAAAATGTATATTATTTTCATTTATTTCTTTTAATGTTACTTTAATATATATAAAAATTAATTTTTCTTATATCTGAAAAGTTGTTACCTTTGGGCAGTATTCTTGAATTTCAATGAAAGGCAATTACGCAGTAGATAGATTTATAGATATACTTATTATTATTTGAATGTACTCAACTGAAAAATAATCACTCATTTTCTTTTTTATCTTAATCTCAAACAAACAATCTTTGTAAAAACCAGATTTTTAAAATATGTATAAATCTAATCACAATTATAGAAAACTTTGATCAATTATTGGTTATACAACCATTTGAAAATTGCCAAATAATTCAGGATGAAAATACGTGATTATTGAAATGGTAAAATAAATATATTATTTAAGATTAAATATTTGACAAAAAATACTTATCGCATTATTAAATCTTATTCAAGCGGATTTATTTTCTATGTAAATATTCATATTCATTTCAAATTTCTTTTAAAAAAAAAAATATAAGACTTCTATTAAATTCTTAAGTAGATAACAATTTTTATTTATTATAGTTTATTTCCAGAAATCCCTTGTAATAAGGTTTTAATGCATAGTCATTAATTAATTATATTCATTAATTTTTATGTAGTTTTTCAGGTAATTTTTTTTAGTAAAATATAATGAAGTGCAATTTAAATAACTAAGCATACTTTTAGAGGTTCTATATTACAAAAAAAAAAAATAAGAAATATTCAATAAATAAAATTTTAATTAAAATTCATTCAATAAAAGCTTGTTATTAAATAGCAATTATATAGATGTCAAAAACATTGCAAATTTTAATGAAAAATATAAAATTTCTTATGCGAATACATAATATATTTCAATTTAAACAAACAGTTACATACTGCTACATTTTTATATATTGTACTTATAGGTCTCTGTATTGAAATATAGTCATATACATTCAATAATGTATCTA